GTTATTGGTGTGTCTGTGTGTGTGTGGTTGTGTGTCTGTTTGTGTGTGTGTGTGTGTTGATGGGCAGGCATTAAGGTGTGTCTCCCAGCCTCTCTCTCCCTGCTGTCAGGGGGCTTTTCTTGTTGCATTCTTCATGCGTGCTCCCAAGTGGCCTTGCCTGGGGCTTGTGAGGGGGCAGTTGGCTAGTGGTTCCACTTCCTATAGACTTCATCCTACAACAGCCTTGCTGTCCCAGCTCAGGGGTGAGGATAATGGCCCAGAGCTACCATGTTGCCATCAATATTGGAGGAACTGGCCAATGGTGGGCATCCATCTGCCGATAAGAATGAGCCAGCCTATTGGATTGATTCTTTCACCCAAAAGTGACAGAATGGGCCTCAGTACCGGGGCCAGGTGTGAGGGACACATTTCTACAGCAGTGTCAGCGAGGAAATTCTGGAACCCGTATCAAATCTGAGGGAGTGCAAGGACAGGGAAGAAGGGCAGAGCTCTGAAACCTAACGGTGTCCAGGCCCTTTTCCTCTGCCGCAGAGGCAGCAGTGATGGGACACGGCTGAGCTGAGCACGGGTACGGCAAAGTTGGGCTTGAATCCAGGTTTGTTTGCTTGGTTTTTGTCCTAATGGCTTTCCAGAATAAGAACAGTGGTGTGGTCGGGTCAAGTGGTGGGAGTGCAATGTCACCGTGTAGAGACCTCGGCTGCTGTCTCTCATGGAGGGGGTGTCCAGAACACAGTTGGAGTCTAGGAACCTGGGCTCTCAGAGGCTCAGGGAAGACCTGACCTTGTCCTGCTCCCTCTGGCTCTCAGTTCTTTTCTTGTTATGCTCTGTCTTAGGGAGAAGGCAAGTCCTGCCCTTGGAAGGCCACTTCCTCTCCAAGCAGAGATGCCAGGCTATGTAGCCCTGCAGGAAAAGGGTAGGGTGTGTGGGGTCCCCTGCAGCAGAGATTAAGGGTACTGTAAGAGGAACTGGGGATATATCTGTCTCAGCCTTACCCTCCTGCCTCAGCAAGCACAGGACACGGTCACCTCCTTGTCAGGACTTAGAGTGTGAGTGACATTGGTTAGTGGAGGCCCATCGGCAAGCAATGGACTGGGGAGGACTGTTTGAGACACTCCTGGGGCAGAGGGATATACGGAAGGTAGACGCTGTCCACCCTGAATCAGAGTGACGTCGCCCCACCCAGAGGGAGTAGGAAGGGAGCAAGGTGATCTGCACATGGATGAGCCCACAGAGGGGAGCTTTCCCACACAGCAGCGGCCTGTCATTTCTGAAGCACTAGAGCCAGACATCACCGGGCTCAGTGGAGAGATGGCCACAGCCCAAGAGATGGATGAGGACAACCACAGGCAAGTGCCCCAACCTCGGGGACCGGAGACGCGTGCCCTCCACCTGTGCCCTGCTCTGGAGACTGTGGCTGTACCAGCTTGCCTAGTAAATCTTACCACTCACAGCTATTGACTGCATGAATGTGGCCTATTGATCGGAACTGGGCCAGGCCAGGCGGCGCGCGCAGGGCCAGGCTGCTGCAGCCCACCTTGATGAACTGGCAGATCTAGGATCACGCTCTTTGCAAGTGATTGTGTCAGTGAAAATGAGAAATAACGATCAGAGCTAGGAGCTGGTTATTAAGAAAGACTTTCAGCCAATTCACGAATCCTGGTGGCTGCTCTAACCACTGGGTCTCCCCACAGAGAGGCGTGATTCCAGGGGCGTAATTTTCCCCAAGAAGATGGGTTGTGTCATAAAGACGTTTGGAGCATCACGGTGGAAATGGGGACAGTGGCAGGGGGGGGGGGGGGCACAGACAGTCACACCTTTCTCTGGCTTCTAAGGAGGCTCTGGCTCCCTAGATGGGCCTGGAAGAAAGGATTTGCTAAACTTAAAGGAGCAGAAGTCACCCGTGGCCCATGACCATCTGCCCACAGCCATCGAAAGAGAACTAAAATAGGTGACACTTGATGGATTGGAATCCTTGGGCCAAGGTTTCAAACAGGGTCTAGGGGCCTGCTGGGCCACCAGAGAGGCCTTGGAGGTGAGCTAAAGGAAGAAAGTCTAGACTGAGTGGGTGATACATGAGCTGCTGAGGAAAAGGCCTGGAAGTCTAGCCAACTCCTTCCCTCCCTCCTGGAGAGGCCACCCCATTACTCTTCAGTGGCCCCTGGTCTGGATGCAGAGCATAGGGGGGGCCCTTGTACTATTCCTATCTTGGGGGTTCTCTCCTGGAGCCGAGGCAGGACAGGAAAGGGTTAAAGCAGAGCGCCTCTTCCAGGGCTGTGTTCAGAAAATGATATTCTGCAGTTGGACGTCATGCTAATTCCATTTCCAGGGCATTTAATCTCATTTGCCCGGTGACTAATCCCTGGCCTTGGATGAATTAACATGTGGCCCCTTCTCCAAGGGAAAAGGGACCCTTTCAACGGAGACATAGCGTCATCCTGCCCTGCTGCCCGGCAGGCAGGGCTCCTGGCCAGACAGTTGAGGGACAGCCTTGGGATGAATGTCTGACCCTTGGGTGAGGAAGAGGGCTTGGTATTTCTTTAGCCTTTAGAACTCTCCAGGAGTAGAGCCTGTGTGTTTCCTTCAGACCCTAGGGTGGGGCACACACTTCTCCTAGCCTGAAAACAAAGGCTCTGGGACTGGGTGCTTCAAGGCCGGAGAGTAGGTCACGGGTGGAGTAGCTCACAGATGATACACCAATGGCAGGTGTCTCCATGGCTGCTCACCTGGGCTACCCAGCAGGGAGGGTCTGGAGAGGGCTGAAGAGAAGCTGGAGACAGACACAATGGGCGGGGACACTTCTCTAGGACTTTCTTTCCAACCCTGCCTTGGCTCTCAGGGTCTTAGACCTCTGGCTTGCCTCTGTACCTTCAATGACCACTGGATAGAGACCCTACATACCTGCTAGGTGGGTGAGCTGGATTGACTAGTGAGCCAAACTGTTTCCGAGAACTAAT